CCCCCCCCCCCCCCCCCCCCCCCCAAGCTGACAGCTGGTGACCCACTTCTAATAGTTTACCACTCCGACCAAATGTTTAATACCTCCACCTGTCAAACGCTGCGATGCTGAGAGATGACTCGGAGCGTTGAGGATGATGTTGTGCTTGTGTGCAGGACTCGGGCTTCCTGTCTCTGAGGCGCTGCTCATCAAACACCCTCTACAGAGAAAGTCCTTTCTATGCTCTGAGTTTGGTGACGCTCCTCTTCTCTGCGCGATGTTCCTGCACATCAGCGGACTATTCTCCTTAGAGTGAGCAGGAGGAGAGCAAGGCTTAGTGGAGATGCTGTTCACTGGATGGATGTGTTGCAGAGCGACGAGCGGTTCCACTGATGTGTGTGTTTGAATGATTTGACCTCAAACAGTTATTTAAGTGAAACCGTGAGAGGAGTGTGTGTTTGGTGGAGCTGGTAACATGCGTTTACCTCCTGAGATGTAGAATGATAATCTACTGATTGATGCATTTTATGGGTCGTTGCATGCATACAGAGGAGTGTGGATGTCAGGAGGAAAGCTCTGAATGCAGATCATCAAACCAAGTACAAGTCTTTCTACAGAACAAGTCCATTTCATTTAACAAGATGAGCTTATTAATAAAGTATAACTTGATTATAAACACGAGTACTTTAAAGTCTGATAACGTCAGAGTGCAGCTCAGTGTGAGCAGCTCGTCTGCTGTCGTGTCTTAAATCAACACGTGAATCCGTTTACACGCACACGCATCACAAGAGGCCTCCAGCCGCGCTGAGGCCTCGCCAGCTAACGCTGCCTAATGGCCCCCCACTGTGACTGTGTGTGTGTGTGTGTGTGTGTGCTGATATCTATCCACACACACACACACACACACACACATAGATATCTGCATGGATGCAAAAACACACTAGGATTCACGATGTGGAAGAAACGCCAGATAATAACTGTCTCTCTCTCCCTCTCTCTCTCTCCCTCTCTCTCTCTCTCTCTCTCTCTCTCTCT